CCAGCACCCACTGCACCCCCCCCCCTCCCCCCCTTGGATGCCTTTGCCCTAACATCAGGGACAGGGACAACCCCGGGCGAGGAGACAGAATGACAGCAGTGGCTGCTGGGTTGATGAGTTACCAAAGGACCTGTTCTGCTTTGGGGACTCTCTCTACAACTTCTTTCTTCTCAGCCTTCCTCTGTCTGTGTCCATTGCTTCGCCAACCTCTTTCAGATGCAAATAAGAATCAGGGATAATGGGAACATTGTGGGATTATGGGTGAGATGGAGCAGAGGCATGCACATATACACAAATACAAGCACACGCTTTGGGAAGGCACATGGACATGTGCATCTTTCAGTGAAACCCACAAGACCCAAACACACATCCAGCTTTATTCGGAGAGAGCCGAGGCAGGTTGGAAGGCACGGGGGTCTGCACAGAAGAAAGGAGCAGCCAAATCAATATCAGTCGAACATGCAGCACTTTTGCTTCTTGGGAAGTCTGAGGCAGACAACGAGGAACGAGGCAGGACCCGAGGGAACAGATTGCCTTAGCTAAATGGAGCAAAACCTTTAGGGAATTCTTATTCCATCCGGAATCCCTCTTCCACATCTGCAAATGAGGGAAGCAGCAGCATCGGAAATGGCTTCTCTTCAGTCTTGGACCTCTAAGGGAGACAGATGAGGGGATCAAAGGAGGGAGGAGGGTGAGAATCATAGAATAATTTAAGTTGGAAAATACCATTATGATCATCGAGTCCAACCGTAAACTTAACACTACCATTAAACCATGTCCCTAAGTGCCACATCTACAAGTCTTTTAAATAACTCCAGGGATAGTGAGTCAACTACGACTGAGGAGCAATACTTTTCAAATTCTCTGTCCAGAACATCCTCCCAAAACACCTTTGAACAAAATGTTTGTTAGTTTCCATTTTTTCTTTGGGAAAAAAGGTGGAATAACAGTCAAACCAGGTAATTATTTGGCAAAGAAAATGAATTCCCAGGAGTCTAAGAATTAGTGTGGCCTAATGAAAGTAAAATATTTACCTCTTCTCTTCATCAGGCAGTGGGAGAAGAAAAAGATGAGGCCATTGATGGTAAAGAATGAACCCCCAACAATGATGTCTGGAATCCAGCTGATTTTATGGCCTGGGAAAGATTAGTCAAACCAGGTAATTATTTGGCAAAGAAAATGAATTCCCAGGAGTCTAAGAATTAGTGTGGCCTAATGAAAGTAAAATATTTACCTCTTCTCTTCATCAGGCAGTGGGAGAAGAAAAAGATGAGGCCATTGATGGTAAAGAATGAACCCCCAACAATGATGTCTGGAATCCAGCTGATTTTATGGCCTGGGAAAGATTCAATGGTGATTTTAGCATGACACGACATTCCTTGCCCCCCCACCCCCAAACCCACCCAAAAACCCCACATGCTAAAACCAGACAAGGTGATGTTACAGACTTTTCATTGAGATCTTTTTCTCCAGTATCTCCCCTTAAAAACATGGGCAGGTATGGCAATGACCTCATTTAGTGATGGAAAGAGAGACTGAGGCAAAGAGATGGATGGTCATAGGACAGGGAGGGGTGGAGATGAAACTCATGGATGAATCCATAGGCAAGCACACAGGGAATGAACTAGCTAATGATGGGTCAGTAGCTACTAGATGCTCTAGTGAGGAAGGGTTTGAAAACTCACTTTTCACATTGACATTGACACCACAGCTCGTTTCTGAGAGAACGGGACGTCCAGACTTAATTACATAATAGGCACAACTGTAAGACCCAGAGTCATTCTCTCCCTTGATCCTGAGATCGTAGCTGTAGTTGTTCACATTCGATACTAGGATGGAGATCTGAAGTCCAAAGTCTGCATAGTACTGGACTTCTCTAACATAGGCTGGAGATGAGTGGAAGGAGCAGACTAGCTTGACACAGTTCCCAGGTCTATAGACCTGCTGCTGAGGATCCAGGGACAAAGTTGGGGCCATGGGAGCAGCTGGAGGAAAAAAACAACAAAACCCCAAGCAATCCGCCATCTATTGACATCAGGACCTGTGCGTAAACCCCATGATTTTTCCCAATGTCACGACTCAGCCTCGACAAAATGAACCACAGAACAGCTTCTGGGGAGTCACTTGTGTCTCTCTTTTCTGTGCCCTTCTTGAAGCGTGGGCAGATGAAGGAAAGACCCACGATTCTCAATAAGAATTCGAGGTAGCTTAAGCAGTTTCTCTGTATTCACTGAAGTGCAGAAAAGAAGTATTTTTACGTGCCCAACGCAGGAAGGCATGTAATGCACCCCAAGCCCTAATGAAAGGCTTGGGGAGGCTCACTGCTGTAAGACCTCTTGGAGGTGACACAGCTGTTAGGCCAACTTAGTCCTGCTTTCTCAGAGAAATCCAGGAGCACACAAGGAGCTTGTGAGAAGCCAGAGCAACTTCATCTGTCCATTGGCAACCAAAGGATAGGGTCATCGGACAAGATCATGCTTTAAAGGGAGGCGTGCGCTGTCCGGGCTGATCGTTCTCAAGCCATATAAACGAGACCAACTTACCCTGTACCTTAACTGAAAGAGGGAGGCTCCTACTGGAAGGCCTTTCTTGTCCAGAGTCCTCCTCAAAGTACATGCACGTGTATTCCCCAGCAGATGCTTTTGTAGCTGTGAGCTGGAACCTGGCAATCAGGAGGGAGTAAGAGAAGGTGCTTGCAGGTGTATTTGCTCCCCACTTTGATTGAAAAACCGAAATCCACCAATTTTCCTGTTTTTCGCAGCCAAGCACTTCAAAGTGACAACTTCTCCTTCATAATAGACATCATATCTGGGGTCTGCGGAGAGCGTAGGGGCTGGCAGAGGGTCTGGGGAAGAAAGAAAGGCTTTGGAGGATGGGAGGGAACTTTCAGAGAGGAAAGGAAAGAGAGACACCACTTTTCCCTCCATTTTACAAAGCACAGCTCAACCCCACCTTGTTGTCAAAGGCTCAGTTCACCTGGAGAGCATCTTGTGAGAGCTCCAGCTGCGCTTACCTGCAGAGGACACAGCCAACGGTAGCAGCTGGAGGAAAGCCGCGAGAGAGGGGCATTGAGATGACAAGAGAGAGGAGGCTGCAAAAAGGAGAGAAAAGAAGTGACTTAGGCAGCAACTGCCCTATGAAGTCCTGCCCCTTTTGGCTACCAATCAAGAGGGCAGCCCCTCCACAACACCATATGGATTCACACAGGTCATGGTTCCTTTTTGTGCCACCGTGGCATGGAAAGCCTAGACCATGGAGAAAACCTGTGAAAACAATTTCATGTGCCAATGACGCCACCCATGGGGGGGGAAAAAAAAAATCTACAAACCTCAACATGCCCCTGAACTTATCTTTTAGCTACATGGGACACATGTTGGATGAGATTATGTCTCCTGTTAGAAGCAATTTGGTGATTGCCGAGCAATTGATTGAATCAGCACTGGGAAATGATATCTTGAAACTTAAAGAAATGGGGCTGCTGGAGTCCTTACGGTGTTAGGAAGGACGGGCGATCTCATGGGTTCTACCAAGGGAGAAAGAGGCATTGAGCTGGGGTGCAGGACAGGATGAGCTCAAGGTCTAGTTGCATCAAATACCAGGTTGCAGAAAGGAATCTTTGAGGGTCTCTTGCCAGCTATGAGGTGGGAGTTGTTGCTTGGATTACAGATGAGGAGGGCCTGTGAGCTGTGGTGGGCTGGCCCTGGCTGGCAGAGCAGCCCCACACAGACACCTTTCTCCCTGCATGCAGCAGGATGGGAGAAGAGACTAGGAAGAACAAAAACAGGAGAACTCAGCGGGTTGAGACAAAAAAAAGTTAAATAAGTAATGGAAAGAGGAAGAGAGGAGAAAAACTATCTCCATCCATCAAAATTTTTTCTCCCCATGGAGAGAGGGCAGCACATCCCAAACCTGTTGGCCTCTTCCTTTCTGCTTCCTTGAAAAACCAGTTTAGACTTGGGCAACTTGAGAGTAATCCAAGCACCTTTATTTTTGTCTTGACTTCTGTTGGTGATGCCATAGAGACTCATCTTGCCTATGTTTGGCTGATTCAGTCAAGACATTAAGTGCCGTGCAAGTGTTGCCAATGTGGCAACCCAGGATAAGGTCTCAGCTAACCTCAAGTTCTCCCAGAACCTTAGGACTGTCTGGAAATAATTTTGGGAGTCCACGGAGTGGGGAGGCTGGGAACGGGCAGCAGCGGGGAGAGGACCCTGGATCCATCTCACTGGACTAGCGATGGTGGGTGTAGTTGAGTGACATGGGTTTTGCTGTTCCAAGTGTGTGGCAGCAGATCTAATCAGATGCTTTATGCTGAAAAGTGTCTCCCCCACACAGAGCAACTGAACGTAGTGTCCTTTGTAATGGGGTGAGGTGCACACAGGAAGAGGATGTGTGAGGTGCACGTCCCTTCTTTTCAACCCCCCACTGATGATGCTGAAAAATTAGTGCTGAACATAGAATCATAGAATCATAGAATCATAGAATCATTGAGGTTGGAAAAGACCTCTAAGATCACCGAGTCCAACCGTCAACCCAACACCACCATGCCCACTAAACCATGTCCCTAAGCGCCTCATCTACACGTCTTTTAAATACCTCCAGGGATCGGGACTCAACCACTTCCCTGGGCAGCCTG